GGGGGCATGTCACGCTGAAAGGAGGGCTTTGTGCTTTCTGAATTCCTGGCGAGATGGGGGGGTCATGACCTGAGGGTGGGATGTCCGGGGGGCGGGGGTCCCGTCAGCTGTCCACCGCTTCACACCAGATGTGTGCAGAGGTGCGACCGTGCGGCGGATCGTCGTGGAAACAGCCTAAACACACAGCGGGCAGCCCGATGCATTATGGTCACACCTCTCCACCCTCCCCCCCCCCCCCAGTGATTTTACCCTCAGCCTGTATCTGGGCAGATAAATCCCGGGAAAGTGGAGATTAACAGGAACTGGGAAATTCTGGAATGTTCCGCTCGTGTTTTTAAAGATGCACTTTTTGAGCATGGAGCATGTCGGGTCCGTGCTAACGTGGGACGGGTTCCTCATGGCGCGATAATATCCGTTCGGTCGCCCTTCACGTTCTGCTTGCTGTGCTGAAGGCGCGATTGAGCGTGGAGTGATGCTTTACGGCCGGCAGAGCGAGACAATGTTTGGAACGGTGTTCTGGGGAATCGTCAGAGACCTTAAATGATGTGTGAAACACTCCAGACTTGGACGGAGCACCTGTAACCCGTGCGTGAGGCTCTGAACGACCGCTGCTCGTAAGGCCAGGCAATGTTTTAAAGCATCTTCATGCGGAAGTGGCTCTGAACACATTTTGTTTTCAAAGTTATTTCTTGAGGGTCTTTTGCCAAGTGTCTGAATGCTGTCTGTTATTTTTAAGAAGTTGCTCAGTTTTTAATTCTTCCTCAAAAAAAGCAAAACAGATGGACGATAGAGAACTATATTCAGTTAGATACATGCGCTAATTCAATCATATTTGTTTGAGGCTTGCAAATGTGAGGAGAATATAGTGAAATGTCTAATCTGAAGACATGCAGGATAAAAGCTTTCAGACAGCAGCGCTCTGGCCGAGACGGAATCTCTCCGGCTTGGTTTCATATTTCCAGAAACGCGTTATTGAAATAACCGGGAAGTTACTGTGCCTGGCATTTCAATTTAGTCAGAAAAGCAAAACCTCACTCTATTTAGTCTATTATTATCCTATTATTATTATTATTATTATTATTATTATTATTATATTTTTCTGTTCTCTAAAAATTAAACATAAAACAAAATATAAAAGACTGAATTGCTTTGCCTGTAAGAAAATAATAAAATAAAATAAAATAATAATGGACTGTAGGACCATCACATCATTAAAAAAATAGCTGTTAGAATGTGGTTATTTGTTTCATTCCAGGTTTGTGTTCAAATTTTCAAAACATTAGTGTCTTCAAATATGCTTCACATTTGAAAAAATCCAGGATAATGTACCGCAGTGTTTCAGTCATACTTTTTCTGCATTACCCTCTGGTTTTTGGTTATAAATGTGAGGTCATTGTTGTTTATCTGGTCAAGTAGCTACTTGTGTTACAATTGGACAGTTAGTCATGTGACTCCTGGTCAGGTGACAGGGTTCTGGGAGCTGGCTGAGCTTCCATGTGATTGGCTACTGATCACTTGGGGGTCCTGCTCCCTCTTAATGCTGTTAAGGGATTAAATCCCACTGGATCTGTGCCTTTGAGCAGTTTGCCGGTAAAATATGTAACACAGAACTAGTACGCTTGACTAGAAACACTTAACATTTACTCACTTGATCCAGTGGCATGCGTGAGTTTTTCTAACAGGATTAGGGTTCATTTCAGCGGCTGCTTATTCAGGCTCTGCTGGAGCCTGACATGCGGCTCCTTTCCTGCTCTGTCGATGTCTTTCTGGTCTAAACCTCCCATCCTTCTCCCGCCCTGAATTTACCCCCCCCCCCTCCCCCCCCTGCCGCATCCAGGGCTGCTGGAAGATGAAAATAGCCCCACGAAATAATGTCACCTGTCCTGATTGACGCTGTAGCTTTTGGGCCTATGAGTTAATCAGCTAAAACCTGAATGAATATCCGAGGGCAGAAGCGACCTCTGACTGGGTCGCGGCAGGACTTCAGAGGTGAACCGGACGCCGGTCTGGACCGTGGGAGCCGGCCGAGGTCCAGCACAGCATCCCAGGGTGCTGAGAGGCTGGAAGGCTTTGGAGAAGGAGCAGGAGAGGCCACGCCGATGCTCCTCCCCTCTATGTAGGTCATGGTTATCCTAAAAGCAGGCAGTATATGTGGGTCACTCTGGTCCGCCTGCGTCTCCAGTTCCGTGGCCATGTTGCCGTTCACAGAGAAACAGCCGGCCTATATTATGGGATGTGTCGCTGGAATATCGGGCCGCGTGCTCTGATTTTGCAAACCATTGTCAGCATTGCCCCCCCCCCCCCCCGCCCTAAAAATACCCCACCCGTCACCTTTCCATAAGGCTGCAGTCTCTCGCATTATCTACACGAGAAAGAAGGAAGTTGGCGCAATGGCATCCTGAACATAAAGCATGTGGTTTTGTGCCAGCCAGATAAAGATTCGACGGTTGGGTGTGGGAGGGGGGAGGGGGCTGTTCTCTGACAGGGGGACCAAGGAGGCTGCGGGGGCCACAGCCCCTGAAGCCAGTGAGAGCGACGGGGCCAAGGAAGGGCTGCGGTCTTCAGGTGTGGCTTCCTGGCAGGAGCTGCTGATGGTGAACCAGCAACCGGCACAATGCAGCCGCTGCACTGGGAGAGAGCACCAGTGTTTTTAGGGAATTACCAAAATGGCGTGGGGGGGGGGGGAGGAGGAGCAGGAGCACCGGGCCATCTTCCAATCAAGCCGGCGCTGGATGACATTTGCTTGCATTCCGTAGATTTTTACTGATATATGTAAAAATAATCATTTCAAAAAGTCCTTTTAAAACTGACCTTGGATTTAAAGAATGAATGGAATTATTTGTGTGAGCTGTAAGTCATCATTTTCAGCTGTGAAGGGGGCGGGGTCTCTGATGGTTTATTTGTCACGTGCCAGGGCTGAGTCTCACCCATGTATCGTGCTGGATCAAATGTGTCCCTCCCTGCAAATCTGGTCAACAGAAAAGTAAAAGTTTGTGAGTAAAAATAGTACTTTTAGTCGTTTAAATGCCTGAATATCAGTAATTATTTAAAGCTGCCCAGACTTCACTGGTAAATATTTGAATTTATATTAAATCTTAATATATTTTTTGCTGCTGAATCCTGTACCTGTATATATGTTAATTTGACCAATTATCGAAATATATAAACACATAAAACACATAAAAACAGACATACTGATTATGAAGTAATAAAATTAATGTTGATTGGCACATAAAGTTGACTGAAAGGTATTTATATCTGTTTACTTAAACAGCTATAAGTTTTAACTCGAAAGGTATTTAATCATTATTATTTTTAGCACTGAAAAATGTGGAAATAGACACAGGCATTTTACAGGAAGTGACTGGACTGTCCCAGAACACAGACTTATTATTTGTATGCCTGAGTGAAGCATGTGCTGTTGCATGTGAGAGACGTGAGCCTTCCACACGCGTGTTTACCTACATTCCATGTTTCTTAGTGTGCTTTTCCAGCTCCCCCCTGTTGTAAACGTCATCACGGGCCTCCAACGCCCCAGCTATGTGATTTTCAACCCCCCCGCTCCCCAATATTGGTACATTCCACCCCCACTACACCTTTGGCAGGTGGTCTGCCACACCAGACAGCATGGTAGGGGGATTAAACCCATAAGCAGAATGGAGGCAGGTCCCAGAGGACCTGTGTTTATGTGGAGTGAATTAGCCGGCGTCCTATTTTAGCCCCGTGTGCAGCTCGACAGGGGCTGGAGGACTTTCTGTGGAGACGCTAGCAGCTGATTGCATGGCGATTGCGTGATGGTGGCGTGCCGTTGGCATGTCTTTGCATGTGGTTAAAAACTGGTATCTGGGTAGGGGTTAAAAAACACACAATCATTGGCTTGGCTGCTCCCCCCTATCATCCAGTTTGGGATGTTCCACTGGAGGGTACTGCTCATTGTGACGTCACTTCCTGTGGGCGAAACCATTGTTGACTGCAGGGGAATCTTTTGGTTTCTTAAGAGTAGGATATGTGTTCTGTGTAATGTAATGCTTTTATGACGGCCCTGCAGGGGGCGTTGTTTTCTGCAACGATAAGAGCATCTTCTCAAAGCCTCTAGTTTCCATGAGGGGTTCTGCTTTTGTGCCCTTTGGCGAAGCAGTTAACCTAAATTCGGCCAGCAATTGGGCCGGTAAAGCAGGCTGCTTTGCTGAGACGTTGTTTTTATATAGACTTTGCTTTTTATATAGAATTAGTGTGTTAATTACTTTGTTTGTTTGTTTTTCTGTGTCCTCACGTGCATCTGTCTGTGAGGACAGGCTGGGGTGACAGTGGCACAGTTGCTATGAACACAGCAGGCCTAAGTAAATATTTAATGGGAGATGATGTCCCCCCCAGGCAGCCCCACAGATGAGTTAACCCTCCTATTGTCCTCAGAGGAATCTCTTAATTGGGGGGGGTGTTTAACCTGCGGTGGTTCCTGTGTTGGCATATTGAGGGGTCTAAGGCTTTGTGTGTGAGAGTTGTTTAACGTTAGCCATTAGCATGTGTGCCCGTTGTTAACATTAGCCGTTAGCATGTGTGCCTTTTGTCAACATTATCCATTAGCATGTGTGCCCGTTGTTAGCATTAGCCGTTAGCATGTGTGCCCATTGTTAACATTAGCCGTTAGCATGTGTTCCTGTTGTTAACATTATCCATTAGCATGTGTGCCCGTTGTTAGCATTATGCATTAGCATATCCCTAACATCGCTCAACATCATTGGTCCGAATAAACCTTCCCGCACCTTTATAATATGGTGGTGCAAAACTCCTAAAATGCTGGTTAAATTATATAATTTCTTCTTTCAAATGAAACATGTTTTATACTTACTTACACAAATGGTTCTATTATAACCATTTAATCTGTTATTGTATTTACATTATTACATTTAAGTGGATTGTTACTTAATGTGAAGTGATGAATTTTGTGTTTGTGATCCGCGTCCGACATAACTCCGGTTCAATCGTTGCTGTGGAGATGAAATCCAGGGAACGTCGAAGATGTGCACTGCCTGCAACCCCCTCCAAGGGGCGTGACCCTTGTGTTCTAAAAGGGAAACTTATTATAGGATTAGATGGCCATTTCTAGACCAGGGAAGAAAAGAGTGAAACATTAAATCTCAGTATAGTCATTAGGAGCCCACTGATCATACCAGAGTAAACACTGATGCTTTGCCAACGCTGTGTGTGTGTCCATGGCAACGCTGGCTATTCTGTGCTGATGTCAGTGTACGACGTCATACTGATCTCCTTTATCTCCCAGCTAACATAACGGCCGCTGACCTAGCATCTTTAATAAATACCCCTTCATAGTCTTTCGTAACAGATAAAACACAGAGTGGCAATTCTAATGGAATACTGAGTAAATTGAAATCTACTTTTCTGTTTTGGAAATGAACAATGATTTATTGGAGAACCACCCCCCCTAGAGGCAATTATAGGGGTGGGTGGTGGCTATTCTTGGGGGGGGGGGGGGTAGCTGACCGGGCCCTCAGATCCAGACAAAGGCCACCCCACACACAGCTCAGGGCCCCAAGCGTGTGCATGGGATGGCAGGGGTCATGTGGGCTGGATTTAGATGCGATAAGTGTGTGTGTGTGTATGGCGGGGGGGGGGGTCTGGAATACACGCCCCCCCCCAGCTGCACGGCACCCTGGAGTGCAGGGTAATCCATCGTCTGATTTTATATTGACGAGTCTGGTGTCGTATCCACAGGGACCACTAAAGGGCCCGCTGGAGGCCCCTGGATCATACGTGTCAAACAAATAGGGGATGAGGTAATGGATATGTGTCTGGGTGGGGGCTTATGGGGAAAAAAGGTGTGGCCTCTTCACGGCTGTGCTTCAGACGATGCCCTGATTTGGATTTTGAAAATGTGTTGGACGCACCTTTGAATATTTCTTGAGTATTTATTGAGAATTTCTTGTGTATTCCATAAGCATTTCTTGAGCATTCTTTGAGTATTTCTTGAGTATTCTCTGGGTATTTTTTGGACATCCCCTCAACACCTCTTGCATCTTGTGTACAGTTGGTACAGGGACGAAGGTGTGCCCCCCCTGGGAAATGATGTCGCTACCTGTTTCCACGTCTGTCACAAATGGTCGCCCATTCCTGCTGTTCACCATGTCAGCTTCTGGGACATGAATGAAATGACAGTGTGCAGAGATAGTTTTTAAAAAAAGGGCCTGGGGCTGATCCTCACGAGGGAGGGGGGAGGGGTCCTCTTGTGCCCCCAGTTTGGGCATGATTAAAGTCCTGATGTAGGTGCAGGTGGTGGTTATCAACTGGCACTTAATGGGGGCTGCACTGACATTCCCAAGCTGGCTATGACTCAGGGTGATGTGGAGCATAGCCCCGCCTCCAGAGGGTGGAGTCACATATGTCACGCCCCCCAAGCTGGCTATGACTCAGGGTGATGTGGAGCATAGCCCCGCCTCCAGAGGGTGGAGTCACATATGTCACGCCCCCCAATGCTGGTCGAGATGAGCCTCTGTTTCATTTATTCATGGCCACTTCCTGGGGTTTTCCAGCACCTGCATCACTGGGTGGGGATGGGGCTGTATGGTGACCCCCCCCCCCCCAACCCAGTGAGAAAGATGGGATCCTGTATTAAAGTGTCTGTCCTGGAACCCTAAAAACAGGGGGCAGTCATTTCCCTGTCCCGCTTGGAGGAAGTATGAATTTTAGGAGTTTTTCCACTGTGAAGTCCTTCAAGCAGAAGGTAAATAGGTGTGTCTGTGTGTGACTTTCTGGAATTATGACATTGTGGGGACCAGATTTCCTGTAATTTGATTTTACTTTTTACACATACTTTTTACATTTTTTTGGTCCCCACAAGGATAACCTCACTTTTATACAAATCTGTGAAGTAAAAAAAAAAAAACTAAAAATGCCAAAAGACTTGCATTTTGTTTGGTTACTTGTGGTTAAGGTCGTCATTGTTGGGATTATGGTTTTGGCCATAGAAATGAATGGGCAGTCCCCACAAAGGTCTGTATGCACAGGTGTGGGTCTGTGTGTGTGTGTGTGTTTCCTGTCTGCACATGATACAATGGATGGACAGACAGCTCTGTGCATCAAAAAAATCTGTTCGCCAGGTGACGGTTGCACTGTGAGAAACGCTGCTGTTCGGTTACAGTGTGCTGGGGACTTGAGCTCGGGGCGTGGTTTGCGGGGGGGGGGGGCGGCGCAGTTTAGACTCTGTTTAGCCGAGATGAGCACCAAAAGCAAGGCCGTTTTGCTGGGAAGCACGACTTTCACTCCTTTCAGGCCTTTCTCAGGCTGGGGGGGGGGGGGGTTTGCCCAGTGATTCATATGGAAATGGGGGCCAGAGAGAGGGCAAGTTCTCACCCAAACTGGATCTGCCCCTCAGGGCTGGGGGTGACCCCACGGGGCTGAGTGGCGAGTGCCCAGGGACCCCCCCCCCCCACCTCCGTCTGCTATGTCTCCCTCTGTCCGTCCTCGTCTGTCTGCTCTGCCCCCCATCTTTCCTCTTTTTGGAAACTGCTATTTTGAGGCTCGAAATGAAGGCAGATGAAACAGTGAAGCTGTAGTGGAACAGGAGCCCAATGTTTGTGGTAGTGCTGGGTTTTAATAGGTTACATCTGTAGCCTGACTTCATTCTGGAGCCTATGAGGGTTATGCTGTGGGACTATGATGAGTGTCGGCACGGCGACAGGCGACCCTAAATAAAATGCCTGGCTGTCACCAGGCCGGAGGCTGCGGTCCCGTTCTGTCATGGTCGGCCTTCCACTTATATGCAGAGTCTCTGAATGTCTTATTATGATTTGCTTCCAGAATTTTGGCTTTACTTGGCCTGGGGACAGGAAGCGATCGGGGGGGGGGGGAATCCGTTTGGGGTATGAATGTGTCAGGGGGCAGTAAATGAGATTTGCCCCGCTGGATAGTCCCGTCACAACAGTCTGGTTCTGTGGGATTCAATTATGCTGAATGTCACGTGTTAATCAACCTCTGTGTATGTCTGACTGTATGTGCAGGGGCGGCCATATCATGTCATACTGCTTGGTAGTTCTGCCTGATTCTTATCCTGTTGGTTAAGCTTCCCTCTGTTTTGATTTGCTGGAGCAGGTCAGAATTGAAGGCATTTTTATCAGAGTCACACAGGTAAATGACTTTGCGACACTCACGCCCTTAGCTTCAGAGCATTTTGGGACACTTGCACCCTCAGCTTCAGAGCATAGGTAAATGGCTTTGGGACACTCGCACCCTCAACTTCAGAGTGCAGAAAAATGGTTTTGGGATACTTGCATGCTCCGATACTTGCATGCTTACTTCCAGAGTGAAAGTAAGTGGTTTGCACTGTCACCATCCCTGCTTCTCCAAACTTCATCGAAATGGCTGTCCATCGGCTTGTTTCAGACTCTGTCATGGATGTAAAATGGAAACTCACATAATATTAAATGATACCTGCCCAGATTACTGTCCCTATATATGAGCTAAATGTCTCCTTAATTGGCTTTGTAGATGTCCTGCACATAAACAGGCTGATTATCTTACGTTGCTGTGGCATCAGAATTTCTTTTCTTTGTTCATCTTTCAGTTGTAGTTCCAGACCATAATACAATTATTCTTCCACCTTGGCTTTACATAAGGTATACACCTAACTTTGACTACTTTTTAACAATTTAATTAGGTACTAATTTTAGATTGCTACTTTGAATACCAGATTTACTTGTGCTATCAGTGAATCTGTTTAATTTTGTGGTAGAATATTTAATCCAACTAGTGTGCTGAGTGAAGCATGTGGTGGTACAGACAGACTGGTATACACCACCCAGCTTGTGTGTGGTTTCTGCAAGCGACTCCCCCCCCCCCCCAAAAAAAAAAAAAAAGAGCAGCGCACATACCAGCCTTGTGAAAAACGACAAAGCTTAGCAAATCCAACAAGAATCAGCCTTGTAAGTAAAATTGAACTTCGTCATTCTCATCATGGCCTATGGGTGGCGCTGTGGCCTTTGAAGTTTGTTGGAGCAGAGCCAGCCGTGGTCCTGTCGCGACGTAATTTGTGTGGGGTGGGGGCTTTTTGGGGAAGGACATGTTTGGCCAAACCCTTAACCGAGCGGGATGTCTCGTATTCAAAATGGGGACTATTTGCCTGTTTTCAGGTAATTAAATGCTCCATTATGAGGTGGCCAGCAATCAAAGAAACATCCCCTAGTGCTTCGTCCTTTTTGTCCCATGGACATGTCACGGCTGTGGGGTTTCAGGGAGAGCCGTGTTTCGGCCAATCCGGCTCTGCACCCTCACAGCGTAACGAGACTGCTAATGTTTTATTGTTATCCCGCCCTCAGCCAAATGGGCAACGTGCGGGACGCCGTGGCTAATGGCGCTACCGTGGAAACGCAATGGAGATCCATCCCATGGAGACAAACAGGAACTAGAGAGGAGAAGACCCTGGAAACTGTCAAGCTTGAAAAGGGAAATATGTATCACGGTGTCTGGACACCGTAAGCAGGAAGTTTCAGTTGAAACCATCCCAGGTTCCTAATAATATTACTGTCTTTAAGCAAAGGGTGCTCTTCCTGTGGGACTCTTACCTGGGCCATACGACAGGGCTGCGTTGTGCGCTGCTGCGGTTCTTGTGGCACCCGTGTGCGTTTCTGGTGGTGAACAGAGCTGGCTGTCACCGCTGCGTCTCAACACGCCCCCGTCAGCGGGACTCTGCTCTCTGGGGAATAATGCAGGGTCACACAAGGGTCGCGTGGGTCAGCGTGTCTGACGGGCTCATGACTAAAAGGAGCCGATATGCAGGTTTATAAGTTGATCCAAACGTACGTTATTAATCAGGCGCTGCGGTTCCTTAGAGCTGCTGGCCCCGACTGTAACCCAGGGTAACGTCATTCAGCACCTTCCCGTCTGTGGCCATATGCCCCGCGGCGGAACAAAAGTCCTTGATTTGCGTTACACTGATGGCTTTTTGAGGTCTGTCTGAGGGTCACAGATACGCCGTGCGCAGCCCCGATTTGCCGGCGTGAGAAATAAGCAGCGTGCCTCCCTTCGCCCGTAATTTACTCTCGTTTTCGGGGCACAGATTTTTGTACGGACGGTAGGGACATGTCCCTGCCGATACTGTTGGAGTACCGTGTGTGTTTAGGGGGGTGGGGGGTTCGGGGCTGATGTGGAAAGCAGTCGTATTCATTCGGTCCAGTGAATGTTACATACACATGCTTATATCAACGTCGGCGGGGTGAACGGTGCTGTGGCTCTTTAAAGATTTTGTCCTGGTCAGTTATTTATAGTCGCTATTCTGTCTAAAAGTGTATTTTTTGACCTAGTGGATGATATTAACATTATATATTATTTGGAAGGACACACTGATCAGTTTCCCGTGTCAGGCTATTATTGCTGCTATTACCACTATCAATAATAATAATAATAATAATAATAATAATAATAATAATAATAGGCCTACATTTGATGGCATGATAATTAAAATAAAATAATAGGCCTAAATTTGAATTATGATTTGAATTATTACTTATAAATAAAGAACGAAATATTTGGCAGAAATAACAATCAAGTACCTTTTTATCGTGGCATATTGTACGCACCTCTACAATAAACATTAGCGTTTGGCTGATGATAAAAATGACAGTGGATGAATAAGGTTCGTTCGTTGCCTTTTTATGGGGAATTATAGCGCGTTAGTAATATCCCTGGTGTGTGTGTGTGTGTGTGTGTGTGTGTGGTTTAAAGACGGTCGGCACCTCTTTGTGTCGGCTCCCTCAGCCGTCACCGTCCGCCGTGCCGATGGCTACTTTCAAAGCCCAGTTGTTTCGCAGAAGGTCCGGCGCTCTGCTCCGACCCTGCCTCGGCAGACCTCCGGCGGCGAGTTGCGACGCATCCTTGTCAGGTTTCGCCAGTAAAACGCGTTTCCTGACAGTTCACAAAACATGGATTTAACAAGAAAATTCCCTTTTATCTGTAAACATAAAATCCTTAATATCGGTCGCGTTAAATACTTCAGCCCAGAAATAACACAATAAGAAAAAACATTTGACAGTCCTTTTTATAGCTTTCTAAAGGAATGTTCGGGCGGCATTTCAACCCTGCTTGTGATTTTGGAAGTATTTCAGAATGCAAATTACATTTTAATATTGCTATTTTAAGGCAGGGGCTTGTTTGTTAAGTTATGATATATTCCCATGGTTTTAAATTTAGTTTAGAACTTTTTTTCATTTAGTTAAAAAATGGCATAAATACATTTTTAATATCCATTCATGCTTATTCAGTATACAGTGGCCGGTATTTTTATTTCATTAAAATGAATTAAAGAATTAGGAAACATAGAATTTAAGGCACGGTTTTAAGTTGTTTAAAAAAAAAAAAATCTACTGTCTAAAAAAATATTTTTTTTCTCCGATATACCTGATATATATAAATTGTCATGTGTATAATAGTATTATAGTAATTTCCAAATTTGGCCACGTTGTCTCAATACAAAAATGCAAAACTAATCAAATAAAGAATGTTAATAGTTTTTTAAAAAATAAAATCCGGTACTGGCAGCAGCTGCAATTTAGTTTATATATAAATAGCCCCAACAATACAGAGAAGAGGGCTGTTTTTCACTTATTTCAAAGTATTATAGAATAGTGACGTCTGGCTGGTTTTACATCCTAAATATCCAGTATAAAAACGGGGACACCTTTTATAATTACACAATTCATTCGCCAGTGTGCAGTCTCTCTCAAACGACGTCCAAAACTGAAATAATAATAATAATAATAATAATAATAATAATAATAGTAATAATCACATAACTTCCCATTTCTTTGGTCCATATCAACTCCGACGTCACATTAACACAGTATTACCCTTCGGTTTTGGCGCAAACGTCATTTTTATATTCTTAAATATTCGGGTTTTCGCGCGCTCATTTTGCCTTTGATGCTGATGCTACACACTGGATGCTAAAGTTTCTCTCGGCCGTCGCTCCTTTTCTGGAGAACAATGCTGCCGATCTTTTCACTCCAGTGATCTTTTAGCATCAGCCGCCTTTGAATTTGCTTGACTTCTGTCTGGTTGTCCTTTTACCCGAGCGTCTCCCTCTCCCTGCAAGGACGATCAGCATTAACACAGCATGAGACGCCAGCGTTTCAAATGTTGCATCCAAATGTTGTGCTCGTTTGCTTTTTTTACACCGCATTTTTATCCACAGCATTAATATCGATTTTCTGCATAGTTTCGGAAAGTTTAAACTGTAACATTATTGGCAATTACAGCTGTTGAAGTGGTGCAAATGTTCTAGCACAATAACGTATATTTAAAGTAAATGTATACTAAAATGACATGTTTGCATTTACTAAACTGTAGGCTATATTTACTATTTTAGCAAAGATGTAAATAAATCATATAGTGTAAACTTAACATCTCCCTAAAGCACCGTTTCTGCAACCGCATCATTTTTAAGTTTTTTTTTCAGTTTTGCAATGGGGTCAGAGATTTAATGAAATTTGGCAACAACAATATGATGTAACAGCTAAAACAGCAAAATAATTTTATGTGTTTTTTCAATGTTTTTTCAATGTTCAATGAAAAAAAAAACAAGATTACAATGTCAATTGGTCACTTTTTTATATATTAATGGCCGTAATCGTAGTGACCTCCGGTCCGCTCGCTCAGCCGTCCCCTCTCTGCATCGACGCCAGACACAAAGCGGCGTTTGGGCGAGACGCGGCCGGCAGAGTGTGACAGGGCGGCCGCCCCCAACGCATCGCTGCCCTGGGGGTCAGCACGGTCCACAGGAGTTCCACCCTGTCTGGGCTTTTGTCTGCCTTCATCTTGACCTTAGCTTTTAAAGCGTTTCTGTTAATTAACTTAATTGGCCTGAGTCTTACCGATACTTTGTGTTTTCAGTCCTTGTTACCAATTATTTATTATGTAGGTTTTCTTATACTTCAGATCAAAGCATATAAACATTAACAATCCTAGCTGATCGCTGGGAAATAATAAATTATATTTTTGACTGTGTTTAGGTTTGTACATTTTCATGTGTATATTATAATAAAACCCTATGGTTGAAGAATAAGTTACTATTTACTGAATAATTTAAATCTGCAAAGTTAAAGGTTTATTTAACATATTATTGAAAACCTTCAAATTAACATTTGACAAGCAGTCAGTCAAAAAAGCCAGAAAACAATATAAATGACAGTGTTTATATGAGATTTAGCATCTGTTGCCATTATTTTTATGAATCCTATTGTGTTTGATGAAGAAATGTATTTCTGGTAAGAATTTTAAAGAGGAATATTAATTCATGGGAAAGAGTCCTGGCAACGAGAACAATAAGGTAAAAAATGTCTTAGGTTCTAACAATTTGACGAATTCGGTCATTAAACTGTAGAATATTTCTCTGCTTAAAGAACATTTCTTGATATTTAAAAACTATGGATGACATTTATGTAAAGGTTACTTACAGAGGAGGGTGCAGACAGTGAACAGAAAAAAAAGCAGGATGGGTGAGACGTGACCTGGTGGACGGGGTGAGGAAGGTCAGCGGCCCCCCCCCCCCCCGCCCCAATCCCCCCAGTGAAGGTCTGGGGGGGCAGAGGCCCGCTAAGTTGTCCGATTAACACATGCGCTGGCAGATCGATGAGTGTGAAAAGCACAATGGCATGAATCAGACGCTGTTTTTTTGAATATGGGTCCCGACGCCCCACCCTCTCAACACACACAAACAGCCCCCCCCCCACACACACACACCGAAGTCTGTAGTCGTACAGACACCAATAATTACCTTAAGGCTACTCTTTCAACTCAGTCTAGACCCCAGACTCACTGGACAGCTATACCCTCTGACCCTCCAAAGAGAAGTGGACTTCAGATAGGGTGGGGAG